TACTTGTGCTGTCATGGCCAGCTGAAAGAAAAAGCAATTTCTGAATGTAGGTTTCACCCCAGTAATCCATGCAAAATGTTGAAAAGAAAAGAATAAATTGAAACCTCTTGAACCCCCAGACAGTTTTACATACTGTAGAATACTTTATTTTCGCTTGGAATTTATTTTCACTATTTTCGCTGAAAGGATGATTCCATGAAAATAAAATCCAGCGAATATACTTTTTTTCCTATATTTCACATTAAACTCATTAAAAATCAGTGAAAATAAATTACATACACAACGCCCAAAAAGCCTTTTCAGCGAAAATTAATTCCAGCGAAAATAAAGTATTCCACAGTATGGGAACAGTTTTGTTATAAAGTAAACACTCAAAATCTTGGCACACTTGGGTTTACCACAAATTTACTCGCCATTAATTGTATCTGGCTCTATAAAAATGAGTCAGACCTTTACTAAGCATCAACTGATAACCCTTTGACCTCCTGGAATTTTATACGGAAACGGAAACGTTGCCATCAATTAGAAATACAGGATAATACATGTACACTGGGCATATATGTAAGATTTATTTATCACATGACTAGGCTGCATTTTATTCACTGTAGCATGAAATATCCCAATATATATATTTTACATGATTAGAAAACACGACTATATGCATATTGAATGTCACCAGTCTGTGTGTATTTGAGCAGTACTCTGAAAAAACAAATTGTGTGACTATACTGTTTTTATCACTGTGATATTTGAATTTCAGACTGGATATCTACTATCACAGTAACTCATAACAATAACAACTGAAAGTATATTTTGAAAAAAAAAAAAATACTGGTGAGAAAGGTAATATTTCTGCTGATTTTGAAAATCTTTAGTGTTCGTAACTGCAAATATGCCTTCACCAACGTGCTTGGACATAACAATTGATTAGCACAAATTAGGATATGATTCATATGCATATAGTTCTGTTAAATGATTTCTCATTTATGTGATGTTATGTCATTACCTGATACCACTTATTCATAGAGCTGGTTGAGACTTTAGACATTGCATGCTGCCATGGAGGGTAAAGTATAGAGTATTAGGGGCCAGGGACTGTTATGTGAAATATAAGGTTGTGTGTTTCAGTTGCTTATGCATGTGGATTCACAAAGATTCACTTCTTCTTTTCTATAGAATTTTGAAACAAAGCAGAATCCTGGCTAAATGAAATCCTTATTTTTTTCCTTGCAATGCATGCAAATTTAACCCATCAAATATTTTGCATGTTAGTATAAGGATCTAAAAATTCCTGAATGCTCCCGAAAGCGTTCAATCAACACGGATGTCATTGTAGGTACATAAAGTATGTTTTGAAATGTTCTCAGCAACACTCCTATTTATTTACATTCTGTTTGACTGCAAATTGACCCCCACCAGACTCTCCGTCTAGTACCCTCAGTTCATTATCATTGATCCAGAGTCCACGTATTGTATAATAACAAAGCATTTATATGGGTGTCAACACTCTAGTGAGCTGACAGCACTGAAAGGAATAAACAAACACTTCTCCATATTTGTTGTCATCTAGCTTAGGGTGAAAAGCACTCGCCCACTTTTTTCAGTCTTGTTTTGACGTTTATGATACACAGTGAAGGTATATCACCAAAGGGGTTAGTCTTAGAGGGTTGACCAGCATTGTATCATGTTCTATACTCAAATACCAGGAGGTGACTTCAGTATGCACTTTTCTTTTGTCGCCTTGCATTCTTTGATTTGACAAATAATAATTCATTGTGACCAACGCCAATTAAAAGGGATGGGGGGGGGTTGAAAAACCCAATTCTACAAGGAAAGAAAAATATTGATATTGAAAAAGTTGATATTGGTGAAAAGAAAGATAACTCATACACATTTTTTGGAGCAAAGCAACCTACCTGAAACTACAAATCTACCATAATCAGGTACCATAGTACCTAAACCATGAACAAACAAATAAATGGATGGGAACTGTTTTAGTCAGTGGTAATATGTTTTCAAAATGTCAATTTTGTTTTTTCGAATAGAAAAAGTATGTGAACATAGGGAAAAATGGGTGGATTGCTAGTCATTTCCAGTCAGGTGGTTGAATCACTAGAGAAAGATGAAAAATAAGTCTTCAGTAAAAAATCAGGTGGTCCATAATTAAAGGTATTAAAGGTAGCTCAAAACTACCCAGTTAAAAGAAATAACTTTTCTCACCATCTATATTTTATAATGTACATGCAGGAGTCATATTGCATTACTCAGTTTACTGTGATAAGCATGTAAATTGGAATTTCCAGAAGCAGTGATCCAAGGCCATCCAATAGATTGCCTTGCATGCCCTAACTGATTGCTTCACAGTGCCCTTCCATTTTTTCCTGTTTTACTTTTTCTTTTTTTCTCTAGGGCATCTTTTAATCTCATCTGGATAAGATGACATAGTACACTATACTATCTATTGAATGCAAATAACTACATACACTTCTTAACATGCATTTGAGTTCAGATTGGGGCCATGTTGATATTGTATGTCATGGCTACTCTTGGTACATGAAATATCTATATGAAATATTTTAAACAGTGTTGTATATTGTGAATCATTTTTAATTCCGAATGTTCCTGTTTTTGCCCATGATTTGATGATATTTGTCATGATGAACCTTCACTGTGATTTGCTGTCTTAAGAAAAACTCAAAATTCAAGAAAATTTGCGTCATGGAAAATTTATGTAGTTTTAATACTGTAAAACTATTTATTTTCCCTGGCATTTAATTTGGCTATTTTAATGCTGTGAGCAATTTCACTGGGTTTTAAGTTCACAAACTTGGCAGGAAAACAATGAGTTATTTTTCATGTTCATTTGGATTTAATTTAGCGGATTTTACATAACGGCAAAAAATAGCAAAATTAGAAACCAGTGAATAATTAATATGCTTACAGTACTGTATATGTCTCACAGTTGCATTTATTGATTGTCATACAAGATGATAAAAATTACCAATTTTAGCTTCTGTTATGCAGAACACAAACACAGGAGATTTGGCTGTGTTGCTGTCTGTCCATCTGTCCATATTGTACTTTCTCCATTGGTAACACAATTGTTCAGTGCCATGTGACAAAGGGCAATGCAACTTTACTTCAATACACACATTCTTCGTACTCCGACTAGCTCTGATTTCACTACATATTAACTTGACTGATATATTTTTGTTGTTTCTGTAGAGCTGTTTGAAATCTTCAAAGCGAGAGCTAAAACTCTGATAAAAGCCTTAAGCGGAAGTGATTCAGAGAATGAAGAAGGTGAGACAGTCTAATCTAGCGTAATTGAATTGAATTGATCTCCTGGAGCAAATATGATCTAATCAAGTCACATCTCATCTCATCTTCTGTGCTTCTCACACTGTATATAGTATAATGTTTCTAACTATTATCTTGTCATAGGACATATCTGATATCTGTTTTTTTGCCAGTATCAGATTTTGTTGTGGTATGGGTATGTGGTATTAGAAATAATTAAATTGATGACATGATTAAGCTGTAGGTTGAACAATCACAAGTTGTGCTCGTTCATTGTATCTGTTAATCAGCGTTAATGTTGCCATACACTGCTGTGTTTTCGTTGCAGTCCATGCTGCCAGTAAAGAAAGCAGTGTGGAGGTCATCAAATTAGACGTCAATAGGACCTTTCCACAATTATGTATTTTTCAAAAGGTAAGGTACTGAATTTACTGTGAACGAAAAAGCAATGCAATCAGCAGAATTGCAATAAAGCTCACTGTTTTGCTAACAAAGTAGCTTACAAATACAAACTGTTATGTTTTATCTATCAATTACAATTATGTTTGCCAAACAGTAAGCTATATTGCAATACCTGGTTGAGTTGCTTTTCACCCACAGTAGATATATTAAAAGAATGTGCTTGCAAAAGGGCTTTCTTACAAACTGACTGTCTTTTTGGATCAGTCGGGACTCAATTTTTAAGACTTGGGTCTTCATTACTAATCCTGGTGACATCGTTCTTTTCCCTATTCTCCAATAAAGCCATTATTTTGTTTTTTTTCAGGGTGGACCTTATTATGATATGCTAAGCAGCTTATTAGGTGCCTATGCTTGCTATAGACCGGATGTTGGATATGTAAGTATCCAGGGATCACTACTATATCAACTGCAGTTTATTAGTCTCCTTTCGGATTGACCTCTGTGCTCGCGTCCAGACCTATATCTTAGACATGCCTTGATCGATTACATTCAAACTTCACACATACATCATACATCATTTTATACATATGCACATCAACTTGTTTCACGACCTGATTCAAGATGGTCAAATGGTGGCCATTTTTGTACTGAAAAATCATCAAAATCAAGCATTTCTGGCATTTCGGAACCGGATCTTGGCTGTTTACAGATGGATTTTCTTCAAACTTGTTACCTACATTAGACATTATGGGACCTTGATGCCCATCATTTTGTTTTTCAGATCGGATTCAAAATGGCTGACTGGCAGCCATTTTGTTTTAATTAATGCTGTCCCAGAGCAATATCTCTCAATATGGACAACTACTTGTATAATGATAAGATTCAAGATGATTTAATATCAACCATTTCAATGTTAAAAATCATCATAATCGAGTATTCGCTTTTAGATACATATTGCTGACATGTTATGGTCCAACTATATTACTATAAACAAAACTAAACATCTTAAATTTGATAACTAACTTGAACTGTGCCATGCATAGCTTGTTTTTTTATGCCTACTGCAATGTTTTTATTTTCAAATTATCTCTGATTCATGTAGATAGTCATAATGGACTTACAAAAGTACAAGATTTGACGGAGACGCTTTATGGATCTGATTTCCGTGATTTTCACATACAAAAAAATGACAAAAAAAGTAAAATGAAAAAAAAAAAGCCAAAAAATAGTTGTTATTTTAACTCATTTCCTGTTGTCACCATTATATTATTTTCATATTAGCTACTTGTGGGACCTTTCAGCCAGGGGTTCATTAGTTAGAATGATTCAAATTGAAACATAAAGCATCTATAGTTGATGAAATTTATGACTTTAATTCTAGAAAAAAATGTTTTTTGGTAAAATATATAAACTATTGTTTATTTCCAAAATAATCTATCACAGTTCTGTCCAATGAATTCTGAGAATGATTTAATATTTCTCATTTTATCCTATTCTCTTTCTCAAGGTCCAAGGGATGTCCTTCATAGCGGCCGTCTTTCTCCTGAATTTGGAACCTGCTGATGCCTTCATATGCTTTGCTAATTTACTTAATAAGCCCTGTCAGATGGCGTTCTTTCGACTTGATGAAGATTTGGTGAGTTTGTCTTAAAATACTGTCAGTAGTGAGGTGGTGTGATTATGAAACAGTGAAGCGCCATCAATAGTATGATATCAAAATTTGTGTAATGTATAGCGCCCTCAACCATGTAGGGTACTCCAAATGAATATGAAACTGAGTGCTGGGCTTATCTTTGTATGAACTTTGTTGTTTATTAGCCATTTATTTTCAGTTTTTAAAAAGTCTTATATTTTTTCCTATATCGTATTTTGAAACTTTGTTTTGTATTGTACCTTTTATTTTGGAAGGTCATAATGAAAATATGTGTTCACCATTAATGTTTATTAATGGTTATTAATGTTTAATAATAATGATCAATCTTCTTTCCACTGATGGTATTGGTATCACGTTTACCATGGAAGCATTCCTTCCTATGTGAGAATAACTTGACGGGGTTCTAGGACACCCATAATGTTGCACGGTTTCCATTATAATTTAAGAATCAACATTTTATTGCAGCAACATTTTACTTTTTTTTTATGTAATTTGCTAACATTTTGCACAAAATGAACATATAATTTCTTATTGGTAACAGGTCTAATTAAAAAAAAAATCATGTTATTCAAAGGATTAACATGTGAGATGCAAGAACATATTATGATGAATCTGTGTCTGCCATTTTAAATTTACATATAATTTACATATAATTTGTCACATGATCACAAACTACATGTGCATGTTCTCAGGACTACCTTAACAACTTTGATCCCATTACTGAGCTTCTTTGTATCATTTTTGTCTTTCTAGATGAAAGCATACTTTGCTACTTATGAGGAGTATTTTGAAGACAATTTACCTGATCTTTTCAAACATTTCCATGAACTCAATGTTACACCAGATCTCTATATTATCGATTGGTAAGTCTCCGGAATTTAATTTTGATGTTCGTGATTGTACATCATATTATCATCTGCCCTTTCTGTCCATCAACCATGTCTGAAGAATTGAATTTACTGTGTAGTAGGAAAAGTTTACTGAAAAAAAGTAATGCTTATTCAAACTCAATCTTTTTCGTGAAATTGCTCCCCTAACTACTGCTGTGTCTATGTTCTCTGTTACTGTAGAATACTTTATTTTCGCTTGGAATTTATTTTCGCTATTTTCGCTGAAGGGATGATTCCGTGAAAATAAAATCCAGCGAATATACTTCTTTTCCTATATTTCACATTAAACTCATCAAAAATCAGCGAAAATTAATTCCAGCGAAAATAAAGTATTCCACAG